CCGTATATCAATCAGCTTCCAAATATGTTTTCACTAATCTATCAACTGTACATGATTCACTTCCGAATATCAATCAAAAATTAAAAACATTTGCACTAAAATAACAGAGTGAACATATGAAAAAACAGCAGGCCAAGACAAGGAGCATGCAAATAAATGCAACGCAGTGAGAACATTAAACAAAAGAAGGGTTAATTAAAAACAACAAGCAGAAGGGGAAACAAAATGAAAGCCAAACTAAGAAGACTTACTCCGTCATCAGGAAAAGGGATGCCGCGGGATCCCTGAAATACTTGCAGATTTAACATGCCAGGTAATGCTCAGTTAGTTTCTAATTTCTAATCTAAGTTAATCCTCAGAAACTGATTGGTGCCTGCATGCCATCATGTGATAAAGTGGTTGTTAGGGTTACAAGTGTGTGTATTATAATTTTTTTTTTTTTTTACATTGCATTCTTTGTTTGCTTTTTTGTTGTTGTTTTAATACATATTGTATTAAATATATCTGTATACATATTTTCATGTCAATACTTTTAACCCACTGACTACCAGCGTCGCACATAATGCGACGTTTACTTCCTTCTGCCAACGTCACACCCTTTGTGATTTTAGCTTTGGACGCTCGCCGTCATGTTAAAATCGCGATTTTTATGATGGATTTAGTTGAAACCTCTAGCTTATTCATTTCTGTATGGTTAATTAAGGGAAATAACTTCGTAGTGCTTGAAGTAAATATGTGACAAATTTTTTAGTTAGCTCCCATGACGGTGAGACCTTGACGAAAAATTCATCATGGCGTCAAATTATCAGAACCAACGTGGTGGCCATATCTCTCCTAATTTTTCTAATGATGCATTCGATTTTCTTGATTTTGCTTCAAAAAGTGAATTTGAAGACACTTCTGAACAGTTTGATGGCTATGACTATAATAAATGTAATGAAGTGCCATTCAAAACATCGTCGACTGTAAAACGACAGTATGAAGCTTCAAAGTCAAGTCTGACAAAAACAGTGTTGTCGGCTGCAAGTACTGGTGCCGCAGTTTATGATGCTGATAGTTCTTGTAAGAGTATTCAGTCAAAGCCCACAGATTATAAAGATTTTGTGCGTGAGTCTGCACATGACAAAGATATCATTGCCGCTTTTGATTCAGAATCATCATCATCTGACGAGTCCGGGGAAGATGTGCCACGGCCCCCACCCCCCCCCCCCCCCCCCCCCCCCATTGGTTGATGACTGGCATTGTGATTTAGAAGGCTTTCCTGGAGTACCCCCATTTACTGGCACTTTTGGTTTATTTCTGCCAGCAGGAACAAATGAACCACTGAATATTTTCTTCAGTAAAGAAATTCTGGCTGTGTTTGCTTAAGAAACAAACCGTTATGCTGAGGCAAAGATTGGTGCGAAACCAGACACCTGTTTTCCCAAGAACTGGAAACACACAACCCCAAATGAAGTAACATGGTTTCTTGTACTGTTGCGTCACATGTGTTGTGAAAAAGCCGTCTATTTCAGACAGACTACTGGAGTCTATATCCATCTATCCACTCATCATTTGCTGCCACCATCACGTCATGGGGGCGTGTTCTATATATTGCTGTCAGATAACAGATTTGTCTGTTGCCTTTTCAGCACCATATCTACAGCCACATGACGATGATATAAAACAGTAAATCTACATATGTCTTGATATTTGTTATCTATTTAATTTGGTGCAAACAATATCAGATAGGATAAGTGATATTGAACAGTTGTGAAGCTGTGACATTTTTTGGGAGTCTGAATTATTGTCAGTTAAAGGATTTTTCAGTTGCCTTTTTTGCAACGATCTACAGCCACATGATGATGATGATTATGGCAGACAAAGTAAACCCCATTTTTTGTCTTCACATTGTTCTCGGTTTTATTTTGTGCAAAAATACAAAATGTAATATATGTTTGTTGAATATTTTTAAATAAAAATCATCACTGTCAGTCTTTATTGTTGTCAGATAAAAGATTTTCAGTTGCCTTTTTTGCAACAATATACAGCCACATGATGATGATGACTATGTCAGAGTAAACCTTATTTTTATTTTCTTTAAATGGGTTCTTGGTTTAATTTTGTGCAAAAAATACAAAATATTTTACATTTTTGTTAAATATTTTTTTGAAAATAAGACATTTTTATTAGTCTTTATTGTTGTCAGATAAAAGATTTTTCGGCCGCTTTTTTTGCACTAATCTACAGCCACATGATGATGATGCAAAACAAAATAAACAACTTTTTTTCTTGAAATTTGTTTTTTATTCAGTTTGGTGCAAAAATACAAAATATTGTGAGATTATATCAAATAGTTGTGAAGCTATGGCATTTTTAGTACACACTAAAATACGTGGTATCTGGGGAAATGCAAGGGTTAATGGGCTTGGTAGTCAGTGGGTTAATATGTATCAATCACAATATTTTCAAATAATTTATTTAAATTTTAATATTTCCCTACATTTTCCATTTCATTAGTAATAATTTTCTAATTTTCACATATATATCCAGTATCGACGTATGCGAGATTGTATATATATATATATATATATATATATATACGATCTCGCATACGTCGATTCTGGTTGTTTCACTTTGAGCTAAATGGCTTCTTTTTTTTTTGCCAAGATGACACCACATTTTCTCATTAGCCTCAGGGTAAATGTAACGTGGCCACGCTAGGAGTCACTCAAATGTTTTTTTTTATATAGGTTCTGGTGAATGTATTCAATTTAATGCTTTACCCCATTTGTGTTTGTTCATTATTCCATTAATGTATCCTAATATATTTCGAAAAATAATTTTAACATTTCGATAAATACATTTTTACCAAATTTATTAGTGATCTGTGAAAAATTTGTAGTTTTTACAAATTTTTATCAGGAATCCTAACTAGCTCATTTTTTTTGTGTGCTCTCGGGTTAAAAAAGGTTAAAGACAAAAACAACATGATCTGTTGGAATGTTAATATATTTATCTTTACATTTATGAAACTATTTTCATTTACTTCAAATGAAAATAACATTATTTCTAGAAATGTTAAAATATTTGTTTTTACATTTATTCTACTATTCTCATGTACATAAATTATCACAATTTGATGGAATGTTAATATACTTGTTTTTACACTTATTATACTATTTTTATGTACTTGAACAAGGAAATTATCACAGTTTGATGGAATGTTAATAAACATGTCTTTACTTTTATTATACTATTTTCTTGTCTTTAAACAATGAAAATATCAAGATGTGATGTGAATATATTTGATTATAAAAGCTCTCAAACTGATACATTCACAACTGAATATGCCAATGATAGAAGCCACGTCTTGAGTAGAATATAACATGAGGAGTCAGCAACATCTACAGCTGTGAAATAAGAAGAGGTACAGGAGGAAGGAGGGGAATGAGAAAGACAAAGAAATAAGAAGTAAAAGAATATGACCAGGAACAAAATAAGTTTTTCAAAGCTTTTTTTTTTTTCTGGTTGTACGTAACTGTGCACAGTACTGGTACCCTTTTTTTTCCAAGTTTTTTTTTTTTTGGAGGGCTATTGTAGCAGACACTTTGTGGTGTGGTGAGTATGGCACATTTTATTAGGGCTATTTGTGGTAAGTACCAGCACTTTTTGTTCTAAAGAAAGAAGAAAGTACAGACTGTTCTACTACTTTAGTCATTACTGTTTTTTCCATACATCATTTACAGCCTAGATTTTTTAAAAATCGGAATAAAAATCTTCGATCGTGCCCCATGGTTTTTCTTTGAAGGATCGCTCATGTCATCCAAATTTCCTCTCTCTCTCACTCTCTCTCTCTCTCTCTACCTAGTATATGTAAAACATGTAAGACATGCTCTGAAGTTTGCTCTAGTGATCCCTATCCACTTGTGGCAGAATCCTTTCAACCCTAAAGTGTAAGTTACCTCTGAGTTTACAGAGTTTCCCATTCTGAGTCTGAAAAATTGCCACTTAACTCAGAACAAATACTAACTCTTTGAGTCCCAAACAACACACGATATGTGAATCATTCTATCCGCTGAATCCCCTCCCCAACCTAAAACGTTCTCTTGCTATTTTGTATTTGGTCACAACACACTCAAGAAATCTGGTCCGTCCAGTGGTCACTTCTGTTATATTACTGCCCTGGAAGTAATGCAGTGCTGGGTTTTAATCACTGGTCTTTTCATGCCAAGGGCCCATTGCACACAGGACATTAGACTGATATTATTTTATAGACCAATCTGCCTTTGGTGGCTTATGTGGTCCATATCATGATTATCAGGAGAAAGATACAAAACAAAAAGACCTAGCAAGAAGTATGTATGGAAAATGAGTTTCAAAACATTCTGACATTGTTAAATATAAAAATGATTACTGAAATGCACAAGAGACTAGGTGACATGTTCAGAAACATGATCATATATTGCCACTCAACAGTATGTCCACATCCAATGCCAAAAACATGTTATTCACACGTCTAAATTTAACTTTCTGGCAAATCAACTTCCCATTCCGCAGAGGATATGCAAAAGCAGGAGCGCCGAAACACCCTGGGTGTGAGGGGTGAAAGGGTATATTAGCCCTCCTTCATCCCCCCCCCAACCCCAATTTTAAAAAGCTGATCAGGCGATTGCCCCCCTCCCCCCTTTTTCCCCAATCATGAATAGAAGGTTCTGTGTATAAATATATAATTTCTACCATATTATTATATTTATTTCCCCTTCAGCTCACTATTAGTATTATTTTTAAGCAATTAAACAAGGCTTATTCCTCCTCCCCCCCCCCCCCCCCCAATAAATCTTTTCTGTGTTAAGGCGCCCCTGTACAAGAGTACCATAAGAGAACCCCTTCGGCCCCACAGAACCAAGCATGAAACTAAAACAGCCAGAGTGTTTTAAAAAGCCAGAGATGTCCAAGCAGTCTGCACTATAATGATTGGTGAAGCAGCCACAAGCAGTTAATGCTGAGCAACCACTCACCTTGTGATCATGAATGGCTGGTTTGGTGTGGGAGGGCGGTCGCAGCTTGCTCAGTAGGCGGTAGGTGTTCAGATTGTTCTGAAAGCTCCTAAAGAACAAGTCAATAAATTTGTTACTTAAAAAGCAAAATCAGATGAGATATAGTGTTGTTGTCTCTGCAAAAGGAAAGAAAGAAAGAAAGAAAGAAAGAAAGAAAGAAAGAAAGAAAGAAAGAAAGAAAGAAAGAAAGAAAGAAAGAAAGAAAGAAAGAAAGAAAGAAAGAAAGAAAGAAAGAAAGAAAGAAAGAAAGAAAGAAAGTGTAAAGAGACAAAGGGAGGAAGAAAGGTAGAAAAAAGAAATAAGTTAAAAAAGAAGGGAGTTGGGGGATGGAGAAGGTTGAGAGAAAGTAACCTTTAAAAAAAAGTTGGTATGTTGATAAGAAAGTAAGTAGCACTAGGAAATTTGTGGAGGTTAAAAGAAATTAAAACTAATATTAAACTGAAAAGTTTTTATTCTAATGTCAAATCAGTACTTTTGTATGGAGCGGAACATGAAGAACAACAACTAAAACAGTTAGTTAGTTAGTTAGTTGGGTTATCATCATTGCACTCCGGACATGTCCATAGGTGCTCAGATCCTCCCCTCAGTATAATCCTCAACGTCCGATGGCTAATAGTACCAGTTCTATGTTGAACAACTAAAACAGTTACCAATAAACTACAAACATTCCTTAACTGGTGCCTGCGCAGAATACATAGAATTAAATGTTATGATAGAACCACTTATGTCGAGCTTTGGGAGAGTTCCAGTGGACTAGGAGGTGAAGAAAAGATGCTGGCACTGGATAGGGCACACGCTGAGAAAACTTGAGAACAATATAACTAGAATGTCTTTACACTGGAACCCACAGAGTACAGAAGTAAAAGCAGATCAAAATACACATGGAGAAAGGAGATATAGAGAGGGAAGTAAAAAAGATGGGGAGGACATGAGGAGAGCTGCATGTGACAGCGATGCACAGAACAACCTGGCGTGAGCTGGCTGGGAGCCTACACTACATTGAGTGATAGAAGGTATAAGAAGGCAGGTAGATATGTAGTCAGGTAGGCAGGCATGTAGTAGGTAGGCATGTAGTAGGTAGGTAAGTAGCTAGATAAGACAGGAGACTGATATATGTTTATCAAAATAGACGTGAATTATATTTAGACTTACTTTCCTCTCAAGCGAACTGCTTCATCAAAGTTTCTCTTGTCCATGTTAATTTGGACTTCCTTCGTCTAAATACAGCCACACACAAAAAGTACATACTGTGACTTAATAACACAATAATAGAAAAATGAAGTTACATACAGAGATAATAATGACAACAAAATAAAGTTACATTGACTTATTATCACAATTTCAAAAAATAAAGTTACACGCAATGTCTTAATATGACAATAAAAATAAAATAAAGTTACATAAGTGATTTAATACCACAGTAACAACAAAATAAAGTTACATTGATTTATCATCACAAAATTCAAAAAACAAAATTACGCGCAATGTCTTAATGTGACAAATAACAATAAAATAGAGTCACATACAGTGATTAAATACCACAGTAACAACAACAGTGATTTTGTAGTAAGTCGATTAAAGGAAGCGAGGAACTGAGGATGGCTTGTTGTGGGGCTAAAAAAGAAATTTTTTGTATTTTCTGGGCGAATATATACTCAGTGTGGAATCAGAGACCCAGTGGAGGTGTCGGGAGTGCCATGTGGATAACCCAACTCATAACAATGGTTTGAAAAAATGCTGTATCTATTGAGGTAGTACATGACGTGGGAGAGCTGGTGAGAGACCAAGTTTTTTTTTTTCAGGCAGACCATGATGAGAGCGACATTCAGCAAAGGACTTGCTTTATGATGATGATCTATTGAGGATTAAACTTAGACCACGGGCTGGCCTCATAAACCATTATGTATGCCTTCATGGACCCTTCTTCTTCTTCTTCTTTCTCTTCTTCTGTATTCATCCAAAGATGTAAATGTGTTCATCCCTTTACAAAATGGCTGCGATCATTGCACCTTTCTGCCAATATATCCAACTTCTGCAGGCATTTATTGCCCAGGTCAGCCTTCCTCGTTCGTTTCAAAGGCCACTGCAGTCTCATTAGTGAGCTCATCGTTGTTTCTTAGCTCACCAGTGGTGCCCCCCCCCCCCCACCCTCTCCCCAATCAGGCCAGTCCACAGCAGCCATGTAATGCTGGTAAGTCATTAAGAGAAGGCAAAAGCACAACACAAGCATTCTTCACCATCCAAGAAGGCTTCCATTTATGCAGAGCCAATATATGGTGCTCTGGTACCGGGCTCACCCAAGGAATCGTCACCTCCTGCTCATGACTGTTTAACCTCACTTCCCATACATTGAACCTCATAATTCATCACAGCCTATGTCTTTAGAAGCTTGCAGGAAGCAGCCTGCAGACTTGGGATTTTGATCAGCTACACAAAATGAGGATTTCGCTTCTTATACATGTCGAGACTTTTTACTGGGGGAGTTCCGTGTCCACTTCAGTTTAATACCACCATGGGTCTAATGACAACAAATATCCTCATAAATATTTAACATATAACTCTAATATCTATACAACTGCAGCCATCTCAGACAAACTGAAGCCAACAATTACCCTCTCAACACATTCCATCAGAGGAACGCGGACAGTGGAGTTTCCCTCGATGGAGATGACACAAGCTGGGGTCTCTGGAGTGGCATCCATCAGGGCCAAAACTGCCTCAGCCCCCATTCTAGATCCCTGTGGAGAAAGGGCAGGACACAAGTCATTAGTTCACATTCAACAGGACATATCATAATTGTTCTAATCTCAGATAGTTAAAATCACACAAACGGTTCAACACTGTCCCTTGTGGAAAAACTGAGGCAGTCCCAGCAAAGCCAACAGCATACACAAGCATTAAATGCATAAGACAACTGCCAGAACTGCCAATACAAACAGTCCACCAATAGAATTTACAGTTCGTCACAGACGGATCTATGCCATAAAGTAAACTAACTGGGATTTAGCTGAAATCGAAGATGTTGGCCAAAAGGTGTAGATATTGCAGACTTTCTGTAAACCATATTACAACGTCACAAATGCCCTTCGAAGGACGAACAAAGAAGCAGCAGCTGGTAGTTAAGCTGTAATCAACAATGTGGTCACATCAACCTGCTGGCTTCAAACATCTGCTCAAAAGGATGTTCTATTCTTCTTCTTAGCGTTAAGTAGCTGTAAACTCTGATAGAAAGTTCTGGTTCTTTGTCAACCTCTGGATTTTGGTCTTGTACCAGAACTTGAGTTTTGCATGTAAAATGTTTTAGATCTTTCTTATTTGTGTGCAAACTGTTGGTTCTTCACTTTTAAGGCAGATGCAGTCACACTTTGAAGGAAACACTCCTCATTAGTCAATTTTTTGACAAGTTAATTGAAATGACCCACTGAATTCCCCCCCTCCGACCTTAAAAAATAAGGTCCTGGAACCCATACGAGGGAAAAAGGATGCTCTGTTTACCAGTTTCATATGATGAGCTGCAGCTGGCTTGCAAACACCGTTATCAAAGGTAACTATGGTGGGTGATTCCTGCTGAGCTGATAGATGTTCTTAATCCAGTGAGCGGGAATATTCAGCATCCTTTCATCTGATATAGATGAATGTATATGTGTGTATATTTTTTTCCACATTTCTTCCTATTCCAGCTTTTTACATATCATCATCATCATCATCATCCTCAGGTGCCCTGCCGACTGGCGTGAGCGATCATGCCTCTCCATAATCTGCAATCTGCTGCAGCACGTATCAGTTCGTGTGCCGATACACCTCCACGCCATGCAACAAGACTGTCAAGCATCTTCTCTCATTGTCTTCCTCTATCCCTCCTTCCACAGATCTTTCCAGTGGTCACAACATGTTCTATTTTCCCTCTTCTCATAACATGGCCGAAAAATGATGACTGTCTCCTTCTGATGTCTGTGTCTTCGGGCTCCCACCTCTTTCAAAACCTCTTGTTGCTCTTTTTGGCTGTCCAAGGTATTCTAAGCATTCTTCTGTAAAACCACATCTCTGAGGCCTCTAAAAATTGTTTTTACATATATATTTGGGAAATTGAAACACTTTTTTGTTTATCATGTTTATATCATTGGGATTAATATAATCTGAGATCCAATCTGGCCTGTTTGAACCTCAACCAACACAAAGCTGTACGGTACACAGGGAGATTTGAACTGCACAATGGCTTTCATAAAGACTACTGGGCTCCTGATTTATGTACAGTTTATGATTGAAGGACAGAAAAATAGGAGAAGGTGGAGAAAAGGAGAAGGAGGAGGAGGAGGAAGAAAAGATATTTGATTTGTTTTCTGTTTTTGAAGTAAAGTATTTCATTTGTTTTGTTCTATCATAAAAAGTTGTAGAAATGTTGGCTTGTCCGTGTGTCTTTTTTGGAGAAATGAGGGAAAAGGGGGGGGGGAGGAGGTATTTTTCTAGTAGCATGTTTGTGTTTAGTCATTAAAACATCATCAGTCAATCAATCAATCAATCAATCAGGTGCCTTCTCCATAATGAATCTGGCTGCAATCGATCTTGAACACATTCTGTCTTTCACCCTAGATGTATGTCGCTCAGACTGCCTATCCCCCATCTTTTATGTCATACTTCTGGTTGTCTAATAACATCATAAGTAATCTTCTTTCTTTTCTTCATGTTCACCAGCTGTAAACTCTGGCGGAAAGTTCTGGTTATTCATCTACTTCTGGACTGCAGTCCTGTTTCAGAACCCGGGTGTTGAGTGTGCATTTGTATGCAGACTGCTGGTTCCTTGCCTCTCAGGCAGATGCACTCTGACTTCGAAGAAAGCTCTCAATTAGTCAACTCTTACAACATGCTTTTGGGTAGGCCCTACAATAGGACCCCGGAACCTACACGGGGAATCATAAGTAAGGTGAACTTACCAGGATCCGGTCAAAGGCCGAGGGACTTCCGCCTCTCTGGACATGACCCAGGACTGTCACTCTTGTGTCTATTTTCAGCTTTTCAGACAGAAGCTTCCAGAAACAAATGGGACAAAAGAATACAAAGAGTTGTTTACATCAGTTCACGACCTATAAGATTTTTTAAATACAGCTTAACACATCGTCACCATCACTATGTGCCTTTCCATAGCAGGTGATAAAGGTAGCCATCCCAAATGATCACCAGAATCAAGGATTGGGTCAATGCTGTTCTCCCATCTAAGCATGCGGCCGAGCAATCCGGTTATTTATCTCTGTGTCTTAGTTAAACTAACTCATATTTCTTCTTTCCCTGCTTCACCCAGAGAAAGGCAATTGTTTTGTTGCTTTGTGGTACACATCTAGACTGTGATATCTGGGCTTTTCATACTCATCTGAATTAAGTAAACCCTATTTAGCTTCTATTTACATGTTTATTAACTCGTGTGTGTGTGTGCACACATCTCTCTCTCTCTCTCTCTCTCTCTCTCTCTCTCTCTCTCTTTCTCTACCCCTCCCTCTCAACCCCATCAGGACCATACAACGAGCGATCAACACCCAGTTACACAAAGTGCCACCATTCAGATGAGGATCACCCGGGTACAAGTCCCAGAAACCCTGTTCACAACAATAGCCAGGGTGGGGCTTCAAAATAATGAAATATGGCTTCCCACATTGGGGCGAGGTTATGTTTATTAACTCAAGCAGTCACACACACAAAAGTACTGTGTGTTCTTAATATTACTCCTGTGCACCTGTCAACTTTTTTTGTACATCATAAGTTTAGTCAGGCAAACTAAACCAACAACCAACAACACAAGTTACACACAATGTAATGTGTATTTAGACCCTGTGGATGCAGTATCCCCATGTGTCTGTTGTCATCCTTATTCCTTAAATCAGGCCCCAGCTATGATATTCTGGGACTAAGAGAGTTCAGGAGTTAAGGTCTATTCCATCTATTCCAACCTAACGGCGCTGTCCGGGAACGATTTGGAGTTAAAATATCTATCCAAAATTACTTCAGGATCCTCACCGATGCAACGCACTGAGCTGAGATTCTTCAGACTCAGGTTTGAGTTAGAAGAAGAGCGGAGCACTTATGGGTTTCTCCCGTGTGCCGTGATGTTGATCCGTTCACTAAACTAAACTTGACTTGACAAACAACAACAACAAATATTCCTAGAATTATACCCAGACACTAACTTAACAATCCTCTTAGTTTGTTTGGGCATAACAAATATACATCTAAAGCTGTATGCAAACAAAGACAACATTTTCACAAACAGACCTTTTTAACCTCCTCGGCTGTGATGGGTTTTCCTGTCTCATCAATGGCACCTTCAGCCACCAGAATAATGTTCAGCCGCTGTCCTAGATTTCTTTCCTGGCATCACAAGGACAAAGGAAAAAAAATTAAGCTGAATCATGTCCGAACAAATAAATAAGTCCTATTTAAATTAATTCTGTTCTAAACAAAAACAAAATAAAAAGTCTAAAGAATACTGGGTTCCTTCATAATAAGTCACCCCAGATGACGTTGCGGGGACAGCCCAATATTTTAAAGGGCGGTAAGACCGGGTTTTCCCGGCTTTGTGGTGCTTTTAACTTCCCCAAAACATCTAAAACTGGACCTTGCCGCAACCCACCTCTGCCCCATGAGAGAGGTGCAGCCATGACTGCATGCAGCCTATCTACCACCCCCCTGAAATATTGGACTGTGTTTAGGGTGAATAAAAAAACAATTTTTAAAAGGCACTGAATACTGTGTGGTGCATAAAGAAACTAAAGACCACAATGAGAGGCATAAAATGGGTTTTTCTGCCCAGGATGTTTTGGGCAATGAGCAGGCTGATAGATTGGCAGCTGCTAATTTATTATCAGACCGACATGGTGAAGGCTGGGAATCAGGTGGAAAGTGCAGCAGAATAAAATATCCACACCTGGAGAGACTGATTCAGTGGATAGTGAACAGAGGGGCTGGATGACTTCCAAAATCAAGTTACAGCTAGCACCATCATTACGGGGACTCTTCACTGGCTTCCAGAGGATGCAGCAAGTAGTGTGGAATGCCCGAAGTGCAGTGATGTCAATTTTCCATTCATTCATTCACTAATGACAACAGTATCAGATTTCATCATTATCATCCTTTGTGTACTGTTAGACGTCACACAGGGTTTGCATCTGATTTCTCCGCTCCGCTCTAATTGCATGCAGCTCTCTTGATTTCTGAAATGGAGTTCAGCCCAGTGTTTCTAGCTTCTTGTAATAATCTTCTTCTTAATATTTCTCTTGAATGTCTTCTTATTCTTAAACATTTGTTTCCCATTTTAGTACTTTTTATTTTTGTGCACCTGATTTAAAGATATATAATCACGTTAATCCCACAATGAAGCTGAATTACTTTGCTTTACCACACAATAATCACAAATAATAAAATTAACACTGCAGTTAAAAAGCCTTCATCAGCATCCAACACAAATGAACAATGATGCAATTAGAAACAAGAACACATTAAATCTCTCAGCTTTACGGTGAGGCCTGTCACAAAATCTCCACCTGTTTGAACAGTAGAGGCTAAATATAATTCACACGAGGAAGCCTCTATTTTGACAAACATATACCAGTCTCATATTTTATCTATTTATTTACCTACCTACCGCATGCCTGCCTACCTACCTGCATGCATGTCTGACTACATATCTACCTGCCTATTTCTGCCTTCTGTTACTCAATGTAGCGTAGGCTGTCTACCAGCTCACACCAGGTTGTTCTGTGCATTGCTGTCACATGCAGCTCTCCTCATGTCCTCCCCATCGTTTTTTTTTTTTTTTTACTTCCCTCTCTATCTCCCTTCTCCATGTGTCACTGCTGGAGTAAAGGGCAACCAATACCATAAAAGAAAGTTGCTGAGAGGAGCAGAAAGGGAGAGATTAAGAAAGATGTTAGAGAACCAATACTGAACTTTATAGGCAGACAACAAATCAAATGATTTGGCCATGTAACATGACTGGCATCAGACAGGGCACCACAGAGAGCTATGCTATATAGATTCAGCGGTAACAGAGACAGAGGTAGACCACGCTGAATATGGACCGCAGAAATTTCAGAGACACTGAGAAGTACTTTATTAGAAGCAAACAGAAGGGCCCATTCCAGAGATCTCTTCCTGTCCTGATGCAGCAAGGCATTCCATAAGTAGAAACAAAAAAAGGAAGAAGTAGTTAGAGATTTTAGAATTACAGCAAGGATGGACAGCTGAAAGAAATAGGCTGTGCACAAAAGAATGTGGAGAGACATAACTAAATAACTAATGCCACATGGCAGGGAATACAAGAATTAACTGTGATGGAGCATGCAAAGGAAGAAAACAATTCCAAAACTTACTGCAGCCAATTTCTTACAAAGTGTGTCTCGCCAATCTCCTTCTGGTGGCCATTCAGGAATGAACACCCAGTCAGCTTCTGATGCCAAGGCACCAACCAGAGCCAGATATCTGGGCACAAAACAGCATCATAAATGAACGGATGAATAAAACATCAATCAATCAATAAGAAAAAAACATCATCTCACTTTAGACATTCCAGTATGTGTTACGTCCCGTTCCTCATTAGCCAACGAAGTTCGCATACACAAGGTCCCAACTGCAACGTCTTTTCCAATGTGGGTTGAAAGTTGTCCAGGCACTCTGCTAACTGACCAGTCAGAACAATTTTGACAGATGGTGAAAGCTTTGTCTTTTCAGTTGGCTTTCTGTTGTTTGCTATTCTGTGTATGGGGTTGTTGTTCATGTGTGTAAATTTCTCTATTAGGATAAGCACCTTTTCCTCCCTTCGGCAGCCCAAGCTCCAGAGGCCAGACATTACGTCCAGCTCATTGACTGGTGTTCTTCTCAAACCTCCAGTGATGATTCTGGGTCCAGGGTTCTGTATTTTATCCAGTTTGTTTACATTTGGCTGCAGTGGAGTATGCTCCCATGCCATACTCAAGTTTTGGTCGTACGTACCCTGTGTATACTTGTCGTAGAGTGTTGGCGTCTGCTTGTTCCAGTAAGTTTCTTCATAAGCCTTATTTGCAGGGTAGCTTTCCTTTGGGTGTCTTCAGTGTGAGGGCTACAGGTTTGTCTTTTATTGAATTTCACTCCCAAATATGGAGAGGTTGTCCTCCTTTGGAAGGATGCTGCCTTCTAGGTTCAGATCAATTTGTTCAAGCTTTATGGAAAGAGAAAAGAGTTGAATCAATCTCTCTGGACATGGAAACTTTGTCTATTCTGATGCAATGTCCACTTGATCTCACAAAGAGCCTCAACCCTGTTGTTTTTATAATTAGTCATTATTTTATTAAAGTAAATAAGGAAACTCTTTTCCATGCTCTATAGCAAATACATATTAAATGTATAGGACAGCTGCCAGAACTGCCAGTACAAACCGTCCACCAACAGAAGTGCAGTTCATCATCAATGGATGCAGCAATTACATGAGTCATGTGATCAATACCACGCTGACCACTTATCTCATATAACACTTCCTGATACTTATTTTAGGCTGAGCTGACTGAAGTCAAAGTCAATTTGTAAATACACTCAATGCAGATTTGAACTCAAGATCTTTGAAGTAGCTAAAAAGTGTATCACTACTACTCTACTCTAGCTCACATCCATTCATTATATTAGTCATCATTTACATATCTGCAATAATGTCAGAACCTCTGACTAACGACAAAGGAACTATTATTTCTTCTGATTGTCTCCTTCTGCTGATTCCATAAAGCATTGCAGAGAGGAGTTAGATGTAGTTTTCTGTCCTTTGCTGGTTGCATAGTTTGTGTTACTGTCCTGTTGTGTTTCTGTAGTGTCTCTTTTACTCACTTCCCCTATCTCTTTTTGAGTCTTGCACTGTTACTGCTTGCTGTTAAATTTTAACAGAGCAAAACATGATAGAAAGGTAACTAGGAATACATGTCCCACTTACCCACAATGCCGGCCCATGACTTCCAGAACAAAAGCTCGCTGATGGCTGTAAAAGAAATGTGAATCTTTAACTCAAGGTCAATCCCAACCTGACAATATTGGCGGAAGACAAAATTCGGGATGTTTTTTCTATTAACATGTTTGCTTTCACCACTCTTCAATTCACATGCTTTCACCATTCCTCAACTCATAATGCTGTCCTAATTACTCAATACATATGCTTTTACCATTCCTTAACTTGCATGCTTTCACCATTCCTTACCTCGCATGCTTTCGCGATTCCTCAACTCGCATGCTTTCGCGATTCCTCAACTCGCATGCTTTCGCGATTCCTCAACTCGCATGCTTTCACCATTTAACTCGCATGCTTTCACCATTCATCACCTCGGATGCTGTCATGATTCCTTAACTCGCATGCTTTCAACATTTAACTCACATGCTTTCACCATTCAACTCACATGCTTTCACCATTCAACTCACATGCTTTCACCATTCCTCGTATGCTTTCACCATTCCTCGTATGCTTTCACCATTCCTCAACTCGACTAGTTTCTCATTTACAACTATCACCAATGCAAACATCAAGTACCTCTGGGCAGTAGTAGCAATAGCATCTACAGACTCCACGATTCTATGAAGGGCAGAATCTGTGCCTATGGTCATGTCTGTGCCACAGAAATCATTGTCAATGGATCCGACAAGTCCCACAATGTTTAAATGCTTGTTGTCTTCACGCTGTTCTTTTGTGATTCTACCTGAAATAAAATTACTTTTTGTTAGTAAACATATTTTTTTTTTTCAATTTTATCTTGTCCAGGATAGCAGCTAGAAAGTTTGACACCCAGTGATCTCAGCAGCCATTTTTTTGTGATCCTTTAGGAGAACATAGAATAGACCCACTGCCCCACACCCACCCATTACAAACATGTCATAAAAGGCGACTAATTAGGGGAGTTTCCCCCGTGTGGCTTCCTGGGCCCCATTGTGGGGAAAACAAGAATAAACCCACTGCCTCCCCAAAAGCATGTCGTAAGAGTTGACTAATTGGGGAGCTTCCTTTGAAGTCAGAGTGCATCTGCCGGAGAGGCAAGGAACCAACAGTCTGCATTCAAGAGAATGAAATCTGTAAAACTGATGCACACGCAACACTCAGGTTCTGGAGCAGGACTGCAGTTCAGTAGTGGACGAGCACCCAGAACCTTCCGCCAGAGTTTACAGCTGGTGAATGCGCAGAAGAAGAAGAAGGGGAGTTTACTTCTGAGTAGGTGTGAATCTGCCTGAGAGGCAAAGAACCAACTGTCTGCATACAAATAAGCCAGATCTGTAAAACAGATGTGCAGACATAAATTTCTGGAACAAGAACAAAGTCCAGAAGTGGACGAAAAATCTGAACTTTTTACTGAAGTTTACAGCAGATGAATGAGAAGAAGAAAGATGTGAATTCAGCAGAAGCGAATTCCAAATACTCTGTTTAACCATATAAACTAGTTACGACGGAGAAGAGAGGGTCGGTGGTGAAGTTGTCAAGTCATTTGCCTTGTGCTCCGAAGGTCATGGATTCATTTCACGGTCTGCATAGTTTGGTTCATCAGTGCAATTTTTACGGAGATTTCTGAGGACTGTCACACTGGAGCTACGGAGTTTGTTCTTTGTGTGTGGCTCTTAGCAGACAGCTAGCCTTGCAGCAGAGGGAAGGCTGAGCATTATGGGATAAAACCTGATACAATTAGGTCAATCTTCTTGGCTTAAACTTTAGACCAATCACATTGGAGCACCCAACAATACCAAGTCACAACCTGCTAACCCTGGGTAGACAGTCTAGTAATTAATTATAGTAGCATTAAAAACCATCTGTTTTGTTTTCACTTATATGGACAGAATTCCTAATATGTTAACTTAATCAGCTCCATAAGTGAGCTCATACAGCGAATAACTTGTATCCTGAAACTTCTTCTTCTTCTTTGCATTTACCAGCTGTAAACTCTTGCAGAAAGTTCTGGTTGTTCATCCACTTCTGGACTGCAGTCCTGTTCCAGAACCTGAGTGTTGCGTGTGCATCCATTTTACAGATCTGACTCATTTGCATGCAGACTGCTGGTTCCTTATCTCTCATGCAGATGCACTCCGGCTTCAAATGAAGCTCCCAATTAGTCGACTCCTACGTTTTGCTTTTGGGTAGGCAGTGGGTCTATTCTATTTCCCCCTAAAATAAGACACCGGAACCCACACTGGGGAACCTGAAACTATTTTACTATTAAAATTAACGTAAATAATTTTCATTAATTTCAACCCTCATTCAAATATAGTGTTGCACCTTTGCAGACACATTATTAACAATGCCCTGGCCACTTCAAACAAACCTTACCGTTTGCAAGAAGCTCATCTAGCAAAGCCGACCACTCTTGTCTGAAGAGGTCAGCACCGGTGAGGCTACCATCTCCACCAATGACCACAAGGTTGGTAATGCCCAGCTGAACAAGATTGCAGGCAGCGGTCAAACGGCCACTCCGCTCGCGGAAGTCCTTACATCTGGCACTGCCAATGATTGTCCCTCCCTGAGAAACAAGATCAAAGCTTTAACTCTTACAGTAGCAAGCAAGAGTTTATTGGGAACTCTACTGGGAAACTCAACTGGGAACTCTATGTGGAACTCTATTCCTGATATATTTTCCCATGTAGTTGTTCACATAAATTCATCTATTTCAAATTCTGGTTTGACTCAAGCCACAAAACCAAATAAGCCTTTTGGACCTACAAATCTAATTTCAGCAAACCCCTAATTAGTTGCCTTTTAGGACATGCTTGTTAGAGGACAGCAAGCCCATTCCTTCCCCTCCCCCACCAAATGGGGCCCTGGAAGCCACATGTGGAACACTGGTTCCTGGTTCCTGGGCAGGTAAAAATACTGATACTGACTACATCCGACTTTTACCGCCTGCGAAAGGCAAGACGAATGAGGTATAATCAGAATGCTACTGGCAAAACTGGAATTGGAACTCTGCGCTGGCTTCTGAAGAAGAGTGATGGAGCCCTTATGGGAATGCCCCGAGTGCTGTGATGTCGGTTCTTAAATCAACTCAACTCAACACCTGGTGAGGACTAGCAACCCCTGCCCATTATGGAAGCTTACTCCACTGTATGACACTCAGCAATCACTTACCATCTGGATAATCCCTGAGACACTGGACCATATAGCCTCCACAATATTGTCCCCACCATCCACCATTCCTTGATAACCCTGCAAGTAAACAATCGTGGCAGTTAGTCTGTGTTCCCAAACATACAAAACTACGATGAAACATCCAGAGTTAAACATGCTCTACAGGAAGGGTGCTATTCTTTAAGCACTTCACAAAGCTGAGCTCTGCTTCAGGAGGCCCAAGTTCAAATCCTAGATGAGGTGATTGATTAATTTCTTTTTCTGTAGGGGCAAAAATAACATCCTAACCTGCAGTCCATGACAATTGCCTTATATGGCTCTAAATCCTTTGGCTTAAGACTATTCCCCCCCCCCTCCCCCACGCCCTAAAAAATAGGAAATACAGGTTCTAAAGATTTTTTTTTTTCCCATAAATTGGCGATTCCCATACTTTTTAAAATCAGAACCAGATTTTACAGAGTCAAAGTGAACATTTCATACACTAAAAACAGCCTCTTTGATAGAGGAAACAAATACATCAACAATCAATTGACTGTTCTTTGTGAGCTGCTCTGCTGGTCTCAAAAAAATAATAATGTGATGTGCTGTGTGCCAAGATTCCTGGAATGGAGGTGGAGGCAGTCACTGCAGATTTTCGCTGGCTTGAGAATCAGCTGTACACATATGTCCTAACTGTAACTGACTCACAGAGCATGCTGAGTGAGAAAGGTGGAGACTGGTATGCATAATTTCAGGTCTCAGGCAGTTAGCGCCCTTTAGATATTGTCCCCAGGAAATGCCGGTGTGTAGGGAAATGAAGAGGCAGACAGGCTGGCTGGTTCTGCACAACTTGATGGTGATCTGAAGCATAACAAGCTAGATGTTTAAGTGCTCTTTGGGTGTGAGTGAACAGTGCACATCATCATGGTCTGAGGAGAATGGTACTGCGAGGTGTGACCAGGAAATCTGGTTGAAGATCAGCACTCAAGGGAAAGGTAGGAAGGATATACCGTCAGAATGCTATTGGCACCACTGGAACTCTGCACTTGCTGCTGAAGATAGAGACAGGGCGCTTAAGGGAATATCCTGAGTGCTGTGATGTCAATTCTTAATTAAACATCAAACCTTAAATTTTCCTTAGCTCAGAACTACCTGGTGACACTAAAAATAAGCCTTCCCGACCGCATTTGGGGCTGCAACCCATGGTTTGGGAACCCCTCCATAAGCTCTTCACACTGTATATCATATGCATATCACTTAACCTACGACTACCTTTGCTTGCACTGCAAACAAGCAAATCAAACCATTAACATTAACAAGGCCAGGCAATTGCTACAACTAAGCAAGAACTCTTGTGACATTCTTCACCTAGCTATTACATAAAAAAACTGCAAAAGCAGCAAATTTTGCTTCCAGTTTCTAGTGGGAAATAACCTCCGAAGCAGGTAGTGCTAAGAGTAATAAGACTAGACACATACAGATATAGGTGAAGTAGAAAAAGAACTCACAAAACTGTTGGCTTGTTTTCTCCTGTGCTGTGTCTGAGACTATGTGTTTCTGACTAGCAACAAATGCTGACAATGCTAAACCTTTAAAGAGCTTACCCTAAGTTTTGTTTTATTCAACGGATCAACATCATGGCACATGGGTGTAACCCATAAGTGCTCCGTTCATCTTCTAACTCAAGCCTGAGTCTGTAGAATCTCAGCCTAGTGCACAATTTCTGTGGCACCGGCGAGGATCCTTGAATACTTTAGGTAGATTTTTAACTCCAAATTTTGCCAGGGCAGCGTCGGTAGGCTACTCTTTTCGATTTCTGTGCACAACAATTCACACAGGCGTCCAGTCTTTTTACCCAGAGACCAGGGGAAAATTACTAGAAATCTCCATGAAAATAATCACAGCCTTAAACGGGACTTGATACCGAGACCTCTAGCTATCGATGAGGACACCAAGCTTTGAGACCACACCGCCCCCCAAAGCTTACTACAAGTGTCTCAAAACTTCAGTCCAGAGTCTGAAGAAACTACTTACAGTCTACAGACTTATGAAGAATTGAAAAAACTTCTTCTTCTGTGTTCATCCAAAGATTTAAAAAAATGTAGTTAGCATCCTTTTTATATTTTCTCCAGGTTATGCGGGTGTGTTGGGAAATGAGCAGGCAAATAGACTGGCCGATTCTGCACCACTTAGAGGTAAACTGATGTATGACAAGCTGGATGTTGTGAGGGCCCTTTAGGAGCGAGTCAACCGTGCCAAGGCACAGATAGATCATTACAATCTGAGGAGAATGGCACTGCTGGGTGTTATAAGAGGGGGGTGGCCTGGGTGCTGTGATGTCGATTCTTAATTCAACAATCAACAATCCAAAGATGTAATCACGTTGTGCCCATTTAGAGCATGGCTGCGCCTTTCAGCTGACAAATCCTACTTCCGCAGGCATTTGTTAACTGGGTTAGCCTTCCTGGTTGAATCAAAATACAGTCTACAGACTATAAAGAACTTAACTCAGCCCACAGACTTTATGAAGAATTGACCTACTTAGTCTACAGACTTTATGAAGACACCCTAACTACAGCTCCGCAAACTCCTGAAGCCCCCTAAATACAGCCTACAGACTTAATAAAGTGCCATAACTACAGCCCACACACGTCTTGATATCCCATTATTAGGGCCCATAGACCACATGACGGTTGGTAACTACAGCCTCCCAAGTTTATGAAACCATCTAATTGTAATTGATCTGGGCTCAACCTTGCCTAAAGTGAGTTCTGCTCCCCTGTGGAGTTTTTCTTATTATTGGGAAATATCCTATGAAAAACTACTTGGCCATGCATCAAAGTAAACTTGTTCTTTCAGAAAGGTACTGCCAACATATTGAGGTGGCAGGTTCGAGCTCCAGTGTCACCACACTATGTCTAGTTGACCTTTACAGAATGCTAACTATAAATGGGCTCCCGGAGACAGCAAGGTTTTATGACAGTCAAACAATACATGTGAAAGTATTGTTTTTTATTGCTTTTTCAGTCGCCTCAACCCCCCCCCCCCCCCCCCCCCCCCCCCCCCCCCCCCCCAAGTAAGTGATACTTCTATGTTGTTATTTTGTGGAGAGAAAAAAAAAGGGAGGGGGGGGGGGGGGCAAAATTCTGAAGTGTTATTGTCATAGGACCAATATTGGTAAATGATAATGATTACCTCAGTCCTTGTTATGGTTTGTTCCAGTTTTAATGTTCAAGTAACATACAGACTGTTCTAGTTTTTATTTCTAAATCATATCTTCCCCATGTGTGTTCCAGGGTCCCAGTTCATTGGTGGGAAGGTGAGTGAGGAGAGGGGTGTGGTGGGGGGTGGAGAGAGAGGATTGTTGTTAATTAACTGCTCCCCATCCCCTTTAACTGACAAACATGTAGTGAAAGAAGCTGACTAATTAGGAATTTTCCCCGTGTGGGTTCCGAGGCCCCATTGTGGGGGGGAAAAAAAAAGACCCACTGCCTACCCAAAAGCATGTTGTTAGAGTTGAATAATTGGGGAGCTTCCTTTGAAGTCAGAGTGCGTCTGCCTGAGAGGCAAGTAACCAACAGTCTGCATTTGAGTGAATCTAACCTGTAAAACTTATGCACACGCAACACTCAGGTTCTGGAGCAGGACTGCATTTCAGAGGTGGACGAACACCCATAACTTTCTGCCAGAGTGTACAGCTGGTTTACGCGAAGAAGAAGAAGAAAGAAGATTAGGGATTTGTTGAAATCAGATGTTCGGCCAAAAGTGCCGATATCGCAACATAGATGCAGACCACAATACAATATGCCAACCGCCCTTTTGAAGGTAAATGCACACAAGAGGAAGAAGAAATCCTATCTGTATATCATCATGTACAGGAGGGCTATTCAACTAAGTTTACCCAGGGGCCAACATTTCGAAAATGGGGAATCATCACGGGTGAGAGGCCTGAGCCCCAGCACAGAAGGATCATTACTACAGAACAACTGGCAGTGATCCATAGGCCATTTGATAGGGCTCTATGGACCATATCTTTCCCACAGGCCGCCAGTTGAATCGCCCTCGTGTACAGGAAAAATGTTAACAACGCTGAGTTTACTTATTATTGCAATGCTCTGTCCAAAGCAGTGGCAGGATCAATCAGTTTGCCCCCTTTAGGCTGCTACCTAGCTTTACCACACCATCATAAGAATTAAAACACATCTCAATCTGGACGGCAGAGCAACAAGGCAGATCCCAGATACCCTGTTCAACCTCCAAAGAAGTTCTAATTAGGGCAAGTTAACGACTACATAAGCCTGGTGTACTTGCTGTCCCAAGCGGGCAAGGACGGCCGAATTCTGTTTTCCCAACCAGTATAGGTCAAGGGTCAACCTAGCTTTAGGTAGGCCCCATCATCGTCTGTATGTGTGTGTCTGTGTGAGAGAGAGAGAGAGACAGACAGGCAGACAGAGAGACGGAGGGAAAGAAAGTAAAGAACCTGTTTCATGCCTCTGGTGCACTGAGCATACATTGCTAAACCCATATTGTTACAGACTGATCAGCACTTGATGGGCCATTTGGTCAGTATGACACAGACCACCTTTACTTTCCAGGACATTTCCTGGTAGCTGATGTAGACTTCATAAATTTATATATAAAACATTCTGCAACTCGAAGAGTAAACATATTACTAAGCTGATCTGAACTGTAATTATGAGGTATCCTCTCAACAAGATAAAGTCACAAAAGTAAACAATGCATGCCACTGACCTCTTTAATGAAGAAGACTTTACAGCCAAGATAAAAGCCCATTCGTACAACAGCCCTCACAGCTGCATTCATGCCTGAGTGGGTAGAAACAGCATATCTGACATTATCTACAAGGGTTGCACAAACAATATTCTCAATATAACAAAGTCTTCTTCTACTTTGGTGCTTTATTTTTAGCTGACTAAAAATGACGTCACAGGACAGTCCAATATTTATATTTTAGAGGGTGGTAAGAGCGGGTTTTCCCGTGGTTTCTGTGCGTTTCTTCCAAGGTCAAGATTGTGTGCGTTTAGCTAACCCTAACCAAAATTTTTCAAGGAATCACTTATATCTGGTGCCCATCTTCATGTTGGTCAGCCCCTGCCCCTCCTTCCTGGTACCATGCCTTCTGCTATTACTTTTTTCCAATCCGTCGTGGCACTTGATATGCCTAAAATATTTCAGTTTCTGAGACAGGATACTGTTTATCATCCAACCTTACTTTATGTTCAGATCTTTTAAAAAGTCAGTATTTCTCCTCTTCTTTGTCCATTGTATTCTGAGAATCTTTCTACTGCATTTCATCTCAAATGCCCCTATTTTTTTTTTAAGGACTTCACAACTTGTGGTCCGGGTCACACCCGGGGGTAGGCAGAAAAGCCACATTTCTCCCAGATTTATGGTATTTATCATGGAATCAAGTATGAATGGTTGTGATATCCATAGTACCGAGCCAAAGGGATAACAACTCATGGTTTCTGGATACTTATTTAAAAAAATAATTAAAAAAGGGTTTTGCAATGGATCTGTTGCATGATGATAACCCAAAACAAAGATCCCATTTTTGTTTTAAACTGTACAATTTATTAAAGTGATATGTTTTGGAAATCCTTGAAACTGGGACCCTCGGGGATGCAATCCAGTGTTTATTTATGGCAACCGCAGAGCACATATTCCATTGTTTGTGAACGTTCATTTAATAATCATGTGTAATTTTTAATACTGTTTGAGGTTAGGGTTAGCAGTAGTGTTTGCACTCTAACCCTAACCTCAACTATTATTAAATATTTAAGAACATTACTGGCTATGTTGACATCATCAATATAAACAGGGAATTGTGTCCCCTATAACAAACACTGGATCGCATCCCTTAAGGTCACATTTCAAGTATTGCCCTAGTTTTATAAGAGTACCTTTGCATGCAAATATCTGATTTACTGGCACATTCACAAGCCTCATATATGCTCTCACTGTATACAAGGTTGCAACAGGACATGCATTTACTTGTTATATTTAGTGGGGATTCTTTCTTCAAACATTTTCGGACATTAACATGAAGGTCCATTATATTTAAAGACTGAATGGAACAATTTGATTTCTTTGTATCCACTAGGACTCAGGGGAGAAGTTGGACCCAGGGGAGAAGTTAAACCTAGGACCCAGGGGAGAAGTTAAACCTAGAACCCAGGGGAGAAGTTGTTGACACCCTCAATGATTTAGTGTTTCCCACAGTATGCGGTATATTTGCCAGAGAGAAGTCCGCAATTTACAAATGATTGAGGCCCTGTTAGGGTATTTTCTTAGCTTCGATAATGTGGGACTGTCATTTGGAGGATAGCCCATTATTATTATCCTTCCTTAACGTAACTGTATGCACAGTATCATTCAGTGACTCCCTTAGCACCATGGTTAATACTGTTAAAATACTTATGTGCTGTGGAGATTTCCACATTTATAGAGGAGCGAAGAGAATATCTACCCAACCGACCTTCTTTTTCTTTCTTTCTCTCCCTTTGAGAGAAATAATGCAGTAAATATGAAATTGCTGACATCTCTATGGTTCTAATTACTATTGTTCATTTAATTTTCACTATCACAATCATCTCCATAGTTTGTGCTCAAATAGAGCTGGTAATGCCTAAAATAGTTTTTGGTGCTTTCTTTTTAGCTAACCAATGACGTCACGGGACAGTCCAATATTTTAGAAGGCGGTAAGAGCGGGTTTTCTGTGCTTTAGTCTTTCGCGCATTTACTTAACCATAACCAAAACTATAGGCTTAATCAAGTCTACCACCCCCTGAAATATTTGACTGTACCGTGAGCTGTAGACTGCGCCTGCTTGTGGTCGCCTAATAAAAAAGTACCTAGTTTTCTCCAATTTTTTTCTGTCCTTCTGCGTAATTCTGACGCTCTTGGGACAATGCTTTACTGTTTACTTTTACCCTACAGAGCTCCGAGGTGTGGCGGGATGAGAGGAGGTTTCTACTAGTAACTAGTAGCTAATTTATAATATCAATTCCGCAGGCAGCATTTATTTCTCTCTGCATCTGTATCTCCAATTCAAATTACTGGCTGGTTGTAAAGCAGTAATAAAATCTAAACCCACCTTGTGAGTCGCCGCCACTAGTAAAGACTCCAATAGAATTACCAGCCCATATCCCAGGTGGGACCTGTTGTCCCTCCTTTCCCGGCTGGGCAATCATGCTGGTCTTTCGAGAAAACGACTGCCGTCTGGGTCGAATTGCTTGAGGTGACTTCGCGCTGCTGTCGCCCGTATCCATGGCAATGAATCGCTTATATACCACGGCAACTAATGAAATTCTGGGAACGTCGCCAGACTTGTTTGTGAGTGTATAAATTGTTTTGTTTTGGTTGAGGCGGCCGGTTCGTTTCTTCTTTCGCTGACTTGACTTCTGCCGGAAGTTAAAGTCGGGTCAATTATGTGACCTTGAGGATGTGACCCGCCAGGGTCGGCCAATGGCGGAGAGGATTGAGTGTAAAAATAGGAACGGAAAATTCCGGGAATACAAAGGTAAATTAGACTCTCTCTCTCTCTCTCTCTCTCTCTCTCTCTCTCTCTCTCTCTCTCTCTCTCTCTCTCTCTCTCTCTCTCTCTCTGGAATCTAGGACTACATTCTCAAGGAAACAGAAGAGACTCCCTGCCCTTCTAAACAAGGATGTCGTGAAAGGCTAGTTGCAGTTGCGACTAGCTCCAGGCCTGAAATCAGGATTAAACCCCTTAATTAAGGGTGAGAACTTTACATGTACAAATCCTGGTGAGCCCGGTTTAACTCTATTGGGGCCCCACGGCTGCGATGTAACATAAAATCCGGACCAGACAGGATCTTGAAAGGCGACTCATTGAAGATTTATTGAAATGGTATGTGTTGGGCAGACAGGCGTAGATATTTCAGCCTGGCTGTAAACTGCAATGGAACGTGCCAACTACCCTCTTTAGTGTGAACACAGAAAAAGCAGAAGACTGCTCTCTTTCCCCCACTCTCTCATTCACTCTCTCATTCTCTCTCTCTCTTTTGTCTATTTCTCTCTCTCTCTCTCTCTCTCTCTCTCTCTCTCTCTCTCTCTCTCTCTCTCTCTCTCTCTTTCTTTCTTTCTCTCTCGATTACTCTGGAGAAGTTGAGCTGAGTTGAGTAAAGAACTGACATCACAGTTCCAATACTAATGGTACCGGTCACAATCTGGTTATATGTCCGTCTTGCCTTTCCTCTGAGTGTAGTGAGCCGACCACACCCTCTGGTTACACACAGGTTCCTCATTCTCTCCAGGCCATAATAATCTTGTTTTTCTACTGATTTAGTTGCTGGTTCCCAGAGGGCCTTGATCACATCTGCTTTTTTATGTATCAATTCCTCACCCAGTGGTGCGAATCCAGCCAATCTGTCTGCCTGTTCATTACCCACTACGCCGGCATTGACTGGAGAAAAGATCCAAAGTATGCTTACTACCCGTGACATTCCCAGTGAAGCTTGCCACTCTTCTCGAAGCATCCCTGTCTCCACCTTTTTCAGCATGCTTTCAGAGTCTGTTACAATTACTACATGTGTATGCATCTTGTTCTCTAGCCACCGGAGAGCTGCAGTTAACGCCTCCACCTCTATTCTCATGCTAGATGTTGTGATGTTGTATGCTAGGCTGACTTGCACTGACGATTTTCCATTGGCTTTCGCTATGGGCCCCTAGGCACTTCGCTTTCCTCTCAGCACCGAACCATCTGTATAGATAATCACAGTTGGACTTCCACCTCCGTAGCACTCGCTGGCCACAATGTGATCATAACCCTACACAGGTCAGACTTTACCTCTGGTACTCTGACCCACTCCGCTCCTCGCCCAATGTTCTCCAGCATGCATACTTGTCTTATTGTGTCTTCTGCTTGAGGCATCCACGATTTCCCTCTTTTCAGCCTCTGACCCTTACCTACAGCCAAAGCTTTAAACAGAGCGTGTTCTTTGTCTGCAGCTGCTCTGATGGATGACTTAGCCTGCAGCCCCTTTAGTCTAACCTGGAGAAGGTATCACGTGATATTTTCCTTCTTATCGTCAAGAGTATGCGTGAGCAGCCAGCATTGTAGTACTAGTAACTGGTAGATGTCACACTATAGTTTCTGTGTGAGTAGCGTAAGCATGCAGTGATAGTATGTTCCAGGCGTAAACCATTACGCATTTGTAGTAAATGGTAAACAGTAATTATAAACAGTAAAAAAATGCGTGTCTTTGGAAATGGAAAGTGACGCCTGACCACTGATGTAAACTGATATAGGATACCATATGCAGAAAAGTAGCAGACCGGCAACAGTAAAGGTCATGCATCAATTCACTAACCAGCGGTGCAGATCCAGCCAATCTGTCTTCCTGTACATTCCCCCACATTGCCTGGAGAAAAGATCTAAAGTATGCTCACTACCCCTGACCTTGTAAGTAAAGCTTGCCACTCTGCTCGAAGCAATCCTGTTTTCACCTATTTCTGCATGATTTTAGAATCCGTTACAATTACGAAACACGAGACCAAGATAGAAAATGTTGAAATGCTAGGCATATGGTCTTCCTCGTCTGCGCTCCTCTAGCCTGATAGCTAAAGTTATGATCACCTCCGTGATTTTAAGAATGGCAAGCCGGCCAGGCGATTCCAGGAGTTAGGTTCCAGAAAGTTATAATCACTTTATAATATAAAGTTATAATCAGTTTCGTCGTATAGAAGTAATATTCCAAAAGGTATAAGTTGGTACTCTGCAGCTATCTTCATTGTGGAAAAGGTACCCTCTTTTTTAACGTGTGAGCTAAATACCCCACTGCAATTTGCATTCTTGTCTGGGTGAGGATCATATGTTTGTTTGTTTGTTTTAGTATCCAGAAGCCATGAGTTGTTAACCCTTAGGCTCGGTATTATGGATATCACAACCTCGCGGCTTTGATTCCATTGTAAATACCGTAAATCTGGGAGAAAATGTGGCTTTCCTGCCTACCCCCGGGATTGAACCCGGACCACAAGGAGTTCGTCACCCGGTCTCCGCGCAATCAGGTTTAGCCAACTACGCTTGAGAGCCGGGCGCCTAATATAGACTCCTGGGCAGTTGATATGTGAATCGATCAGCCTAATTCTGTAAAACAGAACAGCGAGGAAAAAAAATTATTCTTATTCGGTGAGAAACTGGATGCGACAAGAAACGAGGTAAAGGTGAAATCCGGCTCTGTCGGTTAGCTACTGAGTTGAGTGCAGGGTGCGACACTGTGATCTGTGCATTTCACCGAGAATGCTTGGTTTCTATGCTCACAAAGATGTAATGTAAACTAAATACTGAGAAAATGGCATGCAATAGGTTTATCACAAAATAGACGTTGTGTCTGATTCGAGTAGGGGATATAACTTTATATTTAACACATTAAAAAATCAAACACAATAAAGTTATTCCACGTTGAAATAATCTAGTTGTAATTAGAAATTCAATATGGCCGCTGCAGCAACGGCGTAGGAAGGAGTTGTAGCGGCGTTCAGTTTTCCAATTGCCGCTTCATTGTCCAGGTTTCTGTACCACACAGTAGGGTTGAGTGCATTTCACGGTTTTCATAATTTTTACTTCTTTAAAAATTGACTACACTAAACAAAGAGTACTTTTATAGATACTCTATTTCTCTACTCACCTCAGTTTGATCCTCTTGTACCTTGCGGTGTCCAGGTGAAGTATAATTTACGAGGGGGAGGAAGGGGGGGGGGGGTGGGCTACAAACATCCAAGAACATCTTGCAACTCTAAGTAGTACTGGTTGTTTATATGTCAAAATCTTCCCTTATACGTTTAGTTTTGCCAGATCGATACTGAAGTCCAAATTCATGCAACAGTTGTCATGCCGTTTCGTCTAAGAGTGTATCTTCCTTCAGCATTTACATTTAAAATTGGACTGAGGTTCAAACCTATTACGCTGAACCGGTAGGCATGCATGCTAGCTAGCAGTAAGCAGCCTCGTCTCCCTGTAATGTAACTTGACTTGTTAGCTGGTTATAAATTCTACCTGGTTAAACCTCGAAAAAGGTTATAAATGGAGTCGTTTGTTATGTGAAGATTGTAAATATAAAACGATAACTGTATTCATGACACACACACACACACACACACACATATATATATATATATATATATATATATATATATATATATATATATATATATATATATATATATATATATATAAACAGTTAGTTGCGTATCTTTTACATGACGTTGCAGAACTAACCCCAGCATTTTTTTTGCTGTTGTGGTTTTTCTAGGCAAATTTTACGTCCAGTAGTTTGCCACTGCTGCTAAACGATCAGCTCTCAGTACCACTGTCGAAATCACCGCAAGACAAACCCTCCGCAGCTGGGGTCGAACCCGCAACCCGGCATTACAAAGCGCGTTCACAACGCCTAAGATACAGACGCCGACACACACACACACACACACACACACACAGACACACAGACAAACACACTACACATAATTTTCCAGGTATGATTACGACCTGTATTTACTAATATTTGCGATGTAGGCGGCAGGAGAAAGAGTTCCCTTGAGTCCGTTGATTTAGGACCGCATGGTCAGTGATGTCGCCACATACTGTGCATGTTAGGATTTAATTGTTGTCCCCGAAAGAAAAATCTACTACTTTACTGAGGATTTGAACATGGGTCTCCCGCGTGATAGCCCAGCGTTCTTAACCCTTCGACCAGCCTGTTCTTTAAAATATTTTCTTTTTCGTAATACGTAAAGCAGAATTATGACCGCACATCACACCGGCTACAAATTTCCTTCACAGCCATACAGCTGCATTTCCACACGCACATACTATACGCATATACACGCACATAATATACGCATATACACGCACATACAAGCTTTCCCTTAGTAAGAACGCCATTCAGTGGCGGTCCTACAACCATTACCTGGCCAACGTTTGCAAGTAAGAACAATTTAAAAAACGCGCACTCGTTTAACTATGCTAATAATTTTCCGGAATGTATTCCTGTGCTTAAATTATACGTTAACACGTTCTAGTATTTCATTGTTTTTGGCAGTGAAGAGGTGGGATCCACAATGTTGGTTCTGTTACAGAAGTGTGTTACTTCATATAACCTAGTTCCTCATATGAGCCGGCGAGGTGTAAAAGCTGGAGTGTAGCCGTTTGTGTAAACGCAAATTCCCTTTATCT